GGTGTGCGTGTGTGTTTGTTCGTTTCCTGGCTTGATGAGGTTTAGCAGCTGGAGTCTCTCTGCCTCATTGCCCACAGTGTACTCAGTCTAAGCACACACACAAAATAACATTTGAAAACTCACATCCATAAATGAAATACATAAATATTTATCTAAAGGAAGCTCGTTTGTCACTTAGACAGAAGGGGACATTGGATGTTCTTAAGCCACTTGAATATTTATGTCTTAAAATGTATTTGCATAAAATGTTAAATATTTTTCTCACAGTTTGTGCGTTTTGTCTGACAGATGATCGGCCGCCCGGTTCTTCCAGCCTACTGGTCGCTTGGATTCCAGCTTTGCCGCTACGGCTATGCCAGCGACACAGAGATCGCAGATCTTTACAGAGACATGAAAGCAGCTCAAATACCTTATGTAAGCAATCTCATCTTGTAGTTTGTGCATGTGTCTTTCAGTCCCCTCCTGAACGCAACAATAAACACGGTTATGTAACTCTCACCGACCTTCAAAACTTGCATTAGAACTTCAGGAATATTGAGTTTCTCGCATTAAATACCTCAACCAGATATTTCGCAGTGATGTGCAACTTGAATGATGATAACACAACATTCTGTGGCTGTATTAAGACTTAAAGTGGTACCTGGAGTGAGTCACCGATTAATCACTATTAATAAAGTTAATAAAAATGCCTTCGTAGTCTGCTGCTTGGCAGCTTGTGAATGGACAAAAGCAATGGAGACATTTTCATAATTAATAAATTAAAGCCAATTACTTGAAAACTAGTTAGTAGTTATAAAAGAAAAAAAAAATGTAATGAAAAACAAAAAAATGTATTCATACATTCATGTTTTTTTTAATCTATTGCAATTATTTTCTGTAGTTTTCTAAATCTTTTCTCTATAATTTAGGGACATGGTTCACAGTCTTTTGAGCATTATATTAGAATAAATGTGTATGTGTGCATACCAATGTGTTTTTTAAGAAATATCAAAATAAAATTGTATTTTGTGTAAGTAAAGGCTATAGAAATTTAGTACTATATATATATACAGTATATATAATTATAAATTCAAATTTCCTCTTACAATAATGTTAATCTAATAGGAAATTGTAAAAATATCCCATAGACTTTTGACTTGGGCCAGTATTTAACCACCTGGCAACCACCCAGAGCACCTTAGCAACCGCATAGCACCCACTCAGAACATTCTACCATCATGCTGCCTACATTTGCAGAAATAAATGTTTCAAACCAAAAGCATTCCTAAGTTTGCACTAAATTACTCAGTCACTTTGGAACTTCGCATTTAAGTTTAATGATCATAATATCTGACATTTGATTGCTTAAAGGATGTGCAATATGCAGACATTGATTACATGGAGAGGCAGATGGACTTTACTCTGGACCAAGTGAACTTTAAAGAACTGCCTGCTCTGGTGGACCAGATGAGGGCTGAGGGGATGCGTTTCATCTTCATCCTGGTACGAGCTATTCCCAATTACTCAGAAAAACAAAGTTGTTTCTTTAAAATGGCATCAGTATGGCTTTCTTATTCCGGCGAAATGTATTCTGTACCAGAACTACATGCTTTGTTTGTTTGTGCGCTTCAGGACCCGGCGATAGCAGGCAATGAGACAAAAGGCTCCTACCCTGCGTTTGATACCGGGATCGAAAAAGACATTTTCATCAAATGGCCTGCTGAGTTTAGCAGTGACATTGTGTGGGGAAAGGTATGGCAAACACAAAGAAGAAGAGGAACATATATTGATTCTGAGTCAATGCCTCATAGTTTTGTTGACAGTATATTTTTCTCTGATCTGCGGCACAAGTTTGAGGTCCTTTATGTTCTGCAGTACCTTGAACTCTTTAGCTTGTAGATTGGTTTACTTGTGTTGTTATTTAAGGAAGTTTACTTGTGTTATTTACTTAGAAATTTACGATCTGTGTTAGAATGTGTGTTTTTGTTTCGATCTGTGTGATTCTGCCAATTTGCCCAATAGTATTTCAACACCCCGGGTTGCCAGTTGGAGGAAAATAAAGAGTATTGCACCCTTGGAAGCCAGCAAACGAACTGGGTCCGAAAATGCCGATCCTACCCGACCTAAAAATCCTCGGCATCCATCTAAAAATCTCTATGACCAGAAGCATATTAAAATGCGGATAAATCAACTCATCAACTTACAGTGTCAAATTCCATTGTCAGTTGTGCTCGTTCCTGTTGCGTGTCCTCAATCTGGCAACCCACGTGAGCGTGGAGTCTGAGGTGGAGAGATCGGGAGAAAATACTCTCTCCAATATTTTGAATTTGGACTGCAGTACCCATTTCAACTGTTAAGAGGATGAAAAAATAATGACACCGAAAACACTTCAGGAAAAACAAAACAAATTAATCAAACAATAAAACCTAATTTCCATTAAAGCTTGATTTTTTTTCAAACATTTTGTTGTTTCTGTCTGTCATAGGTATGGCCTGACTATCCCAATGTCACTGTGGACAATTCTTTGGACTGGGATACTCAAGTAGAGGTATCTGCCTCTCTCAGTTCATTATCTTTCTCTATAAATCACTCTCATTCTATCTCTCTTTAATCAGAGAACCAGACATATTTTCTCTTGTTCCCCCTATCCAATTCTATTCATTCTGAAATCATCAGTACGATGGGTTATAATTGCAAATGCAGTCAAGAGAGATGAGTGTGACATCATAGATGCTATCAGCCAATCGGCATTTAGAAGACACACCATCAGCCAATGAGCATACTACTATACTATATCACCCACTATTACTATTATATCAGCCAATTAGCATGTGGAAGACACACCAACAGCCAATCAGAACATATCAGAAGTGAATCAGCACATTATTATTCAAACAAATTAGCATGTTCCATTACTGTAATATCCCAACAGCATAAGTAATGGTTAAAACGCCTTGTCCAGCCTGCAGCAGTTCTAATAATATTTGTTTCATTTCAACTTTCAGCTATTCAGAGCTTTCGCTGCGTTCCCTGATTTCTTCAAGAACAGTACAGCAGAGTGGTGGGGAGAGCAGATTAAAGACTTTTACAACAACATCATGAAGTTTGACGGACTTTGGATCGTGAGTGCTTTGTCTTTTTCATTTTCATGTTGGAATAACAAAAAAGTAAAGATGCTACACATCTCCTTGTTCAAGCTCTTGTTACACGCCATAGTTGCTCTTAAAACAACATCTAACTTTGACCGTAACCAATATATACCTCAAAAATCAGAGGAAAACGATAGCTTCATAATAATGTTGTTGGGATGTTGATCCTGGAATACGTCCTACTTGACAAATTCATGATGAGCTGTGAAAGAACAAGTGAAGGTTTCTCCTTTGCATTCTTTAAATGATAACTTTGTCATTATGTTTTGCTTTCTGAAGGACATGAATGAGCCAGCCAGTTTCGTGCATGGAACCGTCGGAGAGAATTGTCTAGGGAATGAAGATTTGGAAAATCCTCCATACATGCCCCGTAAGTTTGAATGAGTGCAGGATGGTCAACATTTATACCTGTATTAAACACTTTCTGTCCAAAATTAATCTGTATGTGTGTGACTTTTCCCAGCACTGGAGTCCAAGCTCAGAGGTCTGAAACATAAGACTTTATGCATGAACAGCGAGCAGATCCTTGCCAGTGGCACACACGTCAAGCATTATGATGTCCACAACTTGTACGGCTGGTCTCACACGAAACCCACTTACGAGTGAGTTTTCTGTCCTCCATATTCACTATTGTTTTAGCTCTTGGTTGTTCTGGAATGAGTTTTAATTTGTGTGTTTGTTTATGTGTATTTCCCAGTGCTTTGCTTAGTACCACTGGAAAGAGAGGTGTCGTAGTTACCCGTTCAACATACCCATCTAGTGGGCGCTGGGCAGGACATTGGCTGGGAGACAACTACTCTGCCTGGGACCAACTTCTGAAGTCCATTATAGGTATGTGTTTAGTGGTTCTTGGAAAGATAAGCATCGCTAGAGCTCATATTTAGTATACACTATTGTTCAAAAGTTTGGGGTCACTTTTTTTTTTTTTTTAAGAAATCGATACTTTAATTCAACAAGGATGCATTAACTTGACAGTAAATACATTTATAATAGTATAAAAAAAATCTGTTTCAAACAAATGCTGGTTTTTTTTACATCTTTTAAATCATTGGGGGAAAACATATCATGGTTTCCACAAAAATATGAAGCAGCACTACTGTTTTCAACATTGATAATAATAATAAATGTTTATTGAGCAGCAAATCAGAACATTGGAAGGATTTCTGAAGGATCATGTGACACTGAAGACTGGAGTAATGATGCTGAAAATTCAGCTTTGCATCACAGGAATAAATTACATTTTAAAATCTATACAACTATAAGACAGTTATTTTAAATTGTAATAACATTTCACATTTATTTTAAAAACATTTATTTTAAAAACACATTTTAAAAACCCTGAACATTTATTGGGGCAATTTATTGTGTTTTAATTGTATTTCAATAATATAAGTATAGCATTGGTGAGCATAAGAGGCTTATTTAAAAAAACATCAAAGACTTCTAACCACCCAACACTTTTGAATAGTATTTTATAATAAATGGGAAAGTTGTGCAAAGAGAATTTCAATGTATTGGTCTTCTGAGGCATCAACAATGTATATACATATATAAATATTGTGCAAGAATCAAAGAAAATAAAACAAGAGCATACCATGCTGTGCTAAACTGAAGACAACAGAACTTTAAATACAACAGAGAGATAACTTTGCCTCAGATTATTATAGCGACTTCTTAAAACAGGCCAGTAACTAATCAGCCAGAATACCTTGGCACAACATGGCACATCAGCATTTGTTTTATATAAAAAATGCTGTCCTTATCCTTTATTTTTTGACCCACCTCCCTCATTAAACCACAGTGTTTTTGTTGAACATCTACTGTACAGTTCAGTGTAACCAAACCAAACCAACCCCCCCCCTCTCTCTTTCTGTCTTTCAGGCATGATGGAGTTCAGCATATTTGGCATCCCTTACGTAAGTGCCTCTCTCGTTCTGCCGCAGCACTTGCTATTGATTTTTCATTTGCGCTTTATTTCCTATCAAACAATGTTTTTAGTTCAATTGGGTGCATTACACTAGCATGCAGCCATTACACTGACTCTAGAGTTTATTTATTAATGTTTTGGAGTTTGCTCTTGTGCCCCCTGTTTTTACAGAGATCTATATTTGTGTTTCTCTCTCTCTCTCTGTCTCTGCCTCTTTTCCCTTCTCATTCTCCCTTTTCGCTTGTGTTTCAGACTGGTGCTGATATCTGTGGCTTCTTTAACACTGCTGAAAATGAGATGTGCCTGCGTTGGATGCAGCTTGGAGCTTTCTATCCGTTCTCCAGAAACCACAACACCATCAACATGCCAGTAAGAACACGGCTTTAGAGAAGTTTTAATCATGCATTACCTTTTTTTATGGACAGATTTATGATTTTTGGACCTGTATTAACTAAAACTTGACCAAATCTTATTCTAAGCCTAGGTATGAAGCTAGCTTGATCAGTCATTTGTGTCAGAGCTCTTTAAAAGATCTTATGTTTTTCATCACGTTACTATAATTTTTGGATCTAAAAATGGGGATTTTGAGACAGAAATTTGTAAGGCTGCACATTTGGGGGTGTGGGACTTGTAATTTTTATGATTAAAATTGCAATTGCAATTTAAAATGTGATTTAAAGAAAGAAAAAAA